GGCGGGCGGTCGGGGCTGGGAGTGCGCGGAGGAGCGCGGGGAGGGGCGCGGTTCGCTTCTTCTTTCACCCGGGTGAAGTTAATGCAGCGCCCCTGTGCGGGAGGAAGAACAGGCAGAGCCCAGCGTGAGGAGTCAGGAAGGGAGCAAGCGGCACATTCAGGAAGAAATAACCAGTGAAATGAATAAACCGTAAAAAAAAAACAAGATGGGGCAGTATTGGGCAAAATCTGAAATGAGAATGATCGAACTGTAACCGATCGTTTCTTGCCCGCGGTTTGTTCTGCTGGTATCATGCATGTTTGTTCCTTTTCACCACGGTCTTCTTGGCTACACATCCTTAAGTTTTTCATAGGTTCCCTAATCATTTACTACCAAGTTATACAATTCTCTATAAAAAGAAAATCACATGGTGCATACAAGTATATAATATAACCCCAGTTCTCACAAGCTCTGTTGCAGCAGCACTGTGGAAATGTAGTCCTCACTGACAAGTTCCCTCTCTGATTTTCTTGGTCCACTATAGCGAGTGTGTTTTTCATCAGGCCAGCTCTTTGATCAAATTCTGTTTTGATCACAGCATGAAATATCAAAACACAACCAATTGTGTCCTTATATTTAAACCAGGAAAGTCTGTGAACAACCTACTGGCACTTATTCCGAGCATTCATTGAGAAAGTGGGAGGTGATAACTTGATATCCCTACCAACAATAAACTAATGATATACAGAACAGGGGAGAAATGTAGATTAAAAAAAAAAGACAAAAAATGTAAGATGATTAATTTCAGACACAATTTCATGGAGTCATCAAGGTTTCGCCACTGGTTTCTAAACATGTTGACTACAGCAAAAAGCACAGCAACACTTAATGTATATCCAGCCCGTTTTGGTACACAATCAAGTAAGAACCCCTAAATCCTTCTGAATTACTTTCACATGAGTTACAATGAGAGGGGCCGTCAGTGTGTTGCCAGTTTCTGCCACGCTGTTTGATCACTTGTCAGACAAACAGATGGAGAGTTTAAAGGCCATGAGCCATATTGTGACAGAAGAGATTCCCTTCTTTGTTGGGTGTGCTTTTAGCTCTGGATTAAGGGTAGAAAAGGAATGGCCTAGTTTTTTTAGATACAAAGAAAAGCCTTCTGTCCCAGAAGAGGGCATGCTAAAAAAAAACCCCACAATACTTGACATATATAATACAATGCATATATCTATATTGTAGCGTAACATTCTGTGGCAAGCGCAAAATAATTCAACTCTGCAGATCTAGAAGAACAGTCAGAAAGTGCCCAATCGAACGTACAATTTGTGATTGGTGGTGATGTCTGGAGGAACGAAATGCATTAATGTCACATCCTGTGAATCGCTCTGTCCTGCTACCTCCTGTAAAAGACATTCTACTCTGCCTCCGTCCGCAGTCGGCTTCCCTCTAAACGCCTGGCTGTGTTTCAGTTAGGCTGGGTAAGGAGGGCAGCGCCGCTTGAAATAAATGTTTCTCCTGCGGTTTCTGTCCTACGAAGAGCAGTAACCCGTTTTCACGGCCGTCGCCGCGCTGCTAGAGAAATCCCGACAGGCTAACGAAGACTGACAGTCGTAACGCCGCCCATGCACCTCCACTGCCATGTTGTGCTCCCGCTGTGTGGCATGCATTTAATCTTTAAAGCACCGTGTCAGAGTCGCATCGGTTCAGCCGCAGTGAGTGATCTAAACCGCGGCCACGGTCTCTCCCCCCGTCTCCAGTCGGAAGGCCAGCCTGTCCGTGCAAGCGAAGGGGAAGAGGGAAGCTTCCTGAGCTCTGGGGCTCCAGCTGACTGCCTGGCCGGGACCAGAGAGGGTGGCTGAAGCACCATATGGAAAGAGCTCCCCCCCCATCTCCTCCCGCATCTGCACAGTATTCATGAGGCTCCCCTCTCAGTCCGGCCATATGTTCGCTCTTGTGCGGGGCTGTTGCTGTGCTGCTCACCAAATTGTCCTTTTCGCTGCGCACGAGCACTGAAACGGACGGGCTTGCCCCCAGCCTGACTCCACCGAATCAATCAGGGCCCCCCTCGCCTCCCTCACAATGGTCCCTCACAATAACACGCCGGCCTCTGGTTGTAAATGGCCTCATGTCACGTTAGGGGGGCTCTCTGTTTAATAAGGTATTAAAACAGACCACCAAGTATCTGCTTTCTGGGCCACCCCCCCTTAGTGAAACCTCAGAAGAAAGCCACGTAGGATATCAATGGAAAGACCTGGAGAAGCATTCCTCTCTCCTTGACATGTAAATTCAGGGAAATAAAAAGTTCCCCTGGTAACTGGATTCAGTCTCTTGGAAAACGATGTCTCACATTTTAGCCTGTGTCAGGAATAAAACAAACCAAGATAAAACGCACACAAAAACTCTTGAAATTGTCTTTGCGATTTCTTTTCTGCGGGGAATGTATCAATTGGCCAGTAGGGACCATTGAAGCTGAGCACTTTGACCACAGTTCCTTTGGCAGAGGATAGACAAAAGAAGGACAAAGACAGGCTTCAAGTGGGCCTCTTATTCAGTCAGTAATTACAGCAACAACTGGACAATAAAACTAACTCCTCACAGAAGCAGCAGCGCAGTGTCTTTGATGTGGCCTTTTGGTAAAGGATTTGACCCAAACGTTCCTTCAGTATATCCACATCGTTCTACACGGTGCCAGGAAATTGTGATTGCAGTTGTTTTAACATGGGAGCAGGCAACAGGACACTTGACATTTTAAAAAGCCAAATGTCGGCAAACGGAAAACAATTCAAATGTACATGGATATAATTGCTGATAAAAATTAATAATAAATCTGTTAATACAAAACTTCCGCTTTCTGGAGTACGTCTCTGTCCATATATTGTTGACAAATAGCATGTTAGAAAACAGTGATTATTGTACTTAATCCATCCACCTTTCTTCTAACTGTTTAATGCAATACAGGGCTGTAGGGGAGCCAGAGCCTATCCCAGCAAGCAACGGGCACAAGACAGGATGCACCCTGGATAAGACATCTGTCCATTATGGGACAGACACACTCACACCAAAGGGACAGTTTTCCCAGAAGCAGGTAGCAGCAGCCCAGGAAATGAACCCAGGACCGCAGCACTGCAAGGCTGCCATGGCAACCACTGCACCATTGGTCCATTGCGCCACCTCTGTGGTATTTTATAAAAAAGCAAAATAATCATTTTTGAGTCTGAGGGCCAGTGCTGAAGTCAGCTATGAAAACAAACACATTTCGTAACAGGTTTAACTCTTTGTCGGACAGAAAATTTCCACACAAACTCTCTGCAGCTACTGAAATGACAAAAACATCTTTAAGATACACCTGGAAGGTTTAATTGCTCTCCTGTCTCCCATATAACACGCAGATCTTTCCAAACCCAAACAAAGCAGCTGTAGAGAGCTCTTCCCCAGCCACGCAGGGTGTGTACTTTTTTTTCTAAACCAGGGTTTGAGAGAAGAGAGGAGAGGGGAGTCTCTTAGAGACACATGAACATGCCACTGTGTCTCAGGGTCAAGATGACATTGAGCAGCAAACTGAAATCCATTACTTCAAGCTGCAGGTGGGCTGAGAAAATAGCACTCTGTAGACAGACTGAGGACTTTAACAGGCTGTTTTCCAGTACAAAACCAGTGTTCCCTTACATTTTGCAATTTAATGAGAGTTGGACATTAAAGTGAATTTAGTTACAGAGCTTTTGCCTTTTTACACAGAAGCACTATTTAAAAAAATGCCATTATTAAATATGGATTAATTCTGACTACTTTGCTTGTAATTGAAAGGAAGTTATTTCCCTGCATATAGCAACACAGGACACTCAAACCAAGCTTGAGTGAATGGTACTATTCAGTGCCTCATTACCATGACTAACTCCTTGGTGATAGAATAATGCTTCATAGCAGACACATTGTTTGCACTGTTGTTCTGCTGAACCACTGCAAAGCCACAATGTGGAGAAGCCACTACAGCATAGCACATGGATCTGAAAAGCTTCCTCCAAGCACAATGTGTAGTATTTTTTAAAGATCATATAATCCTTAAGCAGAAATATTACAGGTTTTTCATGAAAGCATTCACACATTTTTTTTTTCATTTTGAAACTTGATAGGCCTTTTTCCTGCAAAAGCTAACACAATAAGACTTGAGTTCTAAAAGAAAAGCTTCTTCTCAAATAAAATGTTTTAATTTTAAGCTTATTAATGTACTTGTTCACTAAAAATGACTTTTTATTTTTCTCCTAATTCTGAAATTAAACAAGTATTTTCATGAAAGAAACAACAATTTGGATAGGATAGGACCTTTGCCTGTTTTCAATTTAAATGTATATTATTCCTACTGTTTAATTAGAAATCTATATTTATAGTTTTACATTTTCAATTCTTGTCTCAAATAAAGAATGGTTACAAAAGCTTACATTGTATTTTTTAATTAGGCTGATTTTAACTACTAAGATGTAAAGCAGACAAAACAAAAAAGACAGACTTTTCCACTGTGGGGTAAAAGATATTTTACTGCAGCATTATGTGCTTTGAAAAAAACTATTCAAGACAGATAACGTTATTCAAAACATAGTCACAAAGGGAGTGGAATCACATTGCAATACTCTTCTGCTTGGGTTCAGATAAACAATATACTGTGAACTGGTCTGGCCTGGTTCACAGACACAATGCAGCTGCTGACCACTTCAGCCACAGCATTCTTAAGCAGCATTTCAACAAACCAAATACTCCCTTCTTCATTTTAACCCTCACACTATTGCAAGACCAAAACTTTCCCTTTGATCCAACCCTAACCCAATTTCTCTAATCCTACCTCCAACTTCGAACCTATCTGTTATCCCACCTCCAACTCTTGCACTAGCCTTAACCTTTGCCTCACCATTATCCTGACCCTAACCCTAACCTCAAAATACAACACTAAACTTTGACCTAAATCTATACAGAACACAATCTCCAGTCTTAACCTACACCCTCACCATCCTTCCACAACCTAACCTAAGCTTTACCCTGCCATTGACCTACCCTAATGCAGCCCTAACCCTAATTCTTGCTCTAATACCTACCCTGATACTGGCAACAAGTCCATTTTGTGATACAAAATTTAAAAAGAAGAAGTGTCTCTTTTTTTAAAAACATCTTTGAATAGAGGAGTCTAAGGGTCTCTGCCAAGAAGGTCTGACTTAAATCCTACAATAGCCCTTTCTTTAAACATAACCCATGATTCACTCTTAATACTAACCCTAAACCTAGCTTCAACTCAAACATTGCCATTACTCTAACACAAAGCTTAACTCCAGTCATAACCCTAAATTTAGTTTAAGCTGTAATTGCAAATCCAAAACCATGTGTAACAGTAACACGTACCCTTACTCCTGCTCAGACTTTATCTTCAACCTGAAAACACGGTGCATGTGTTTTAATCAAGGAGTCAAATCGCACTGAGATTTAGTTCAGGTTCTACACCTGCTGATCCGATGATTTTGAAGAAGAGATGTAATCTGAACCAGTTCACGCCAGCCCCTTCTGAGACCATTGCTGTCTCAGCAGTGACGAGCATGAAAATGGTTTGAAAAAAAAATGGTTTGAAATTGATCACTAAAATGAAATACTACAAAATTCCAATAATATAAAAATGTATTTCTGACCTGCAGATAACTTTTCCTTAACATCTGATTATATTACTAACAGTAATGTCCCTCTTACTCCACAGTAAGTGAGTTTTGCTTTTCAAGAAAAAATAGTTCAGCCATCTAGGAATTTGGTCAGTTTATATTCTGCCAAAAAGACAGCAGACTTTGACATATTAATTGATTGTAATAAAACATTACATTCGATGTACATACCTGATCCCCAGGCTGGGGCCTCATGAGGGACACCTGATCGTAGCCTCGACGAAACAGCGCCCACAGAGCGTCCAGTTTACCCTGCGAAACACAACAGGAGACCCGTCAACCCCAAACACAGCAGCTTCAGGGAGCATCCTGCTCTTTGCACTGCAGGTGAACTCAGAGTCTGTCACCTGGATGTGTGTGAGAGAGTGTGTATTACCTGGATGTGTGTGAGAGAGTGTGTGTTACCTAGATGTGTCTGTTTTAAGAGTGTGTTACCTGGATGGGTGTGTGTGAGAGAGTGTGTTACTTCGATGTGTGTGTGTGAGAGAGAGTGTGTGTTACCTGGATGGGTGTGTGTGAGA